CAGCTATGACTACCCCGAAGCCGTGCTGGTTGATGGGGGAATTAGCCGAGCCTTACTCAATCCCGACAAGCCTCTCTTCATTTCCACTAAACTTACGAAACCTTGTAATTTTTCTTTCATGGCTTTCTTTTCACTTCAATTGTGGCAAATAATAATGTTTGTTTTTTGTGCAGTGGCGAAACTATCCGACATCATCACATCGGGCTCGGCTGAGGTGGCCAAGAGGTCAAAGAGGAAGAGCTCTGGCGAGACCTCAACGCCCCCGCCGAAAAAAAAGACACAAGGGCAGTTGTCCAAAACTTCGGCTGCTACAATCACTCCAGCCACGGCCGCCCAGAGCAGCTCGACCGCCGCAGCCACGGGATCCACCTCTTCTGTGCCGGAAGGGGTGCCCCTCGGAGTTACTGCGGCACTTCCGCATCCTCACGACCGAGGTAAACAATTGAATGCTCCGGTCAATGCGGTCACGGGGACTTCCCTGTGGAACCGCTTTCACAGCCCCCCTGTGCTTCCCGGAAAAGATAAGACCCACTTCGGCATTCATTGGTGTCCGGAGTGAAAGCTTTCGGTCAATGACAGGTGTACCCACCCTCGGGTAGCACAAGAGCTGGTGATGCAGTCAAGTCTGCCGAGGGACGTGGAGTTCACAAGGAAACTCACTCCGGCCGAAGTGATTCAAAGCGTGATGGTGACCACCGCCTCCAATACAGCCTTTATGGCCGAGATGGCGCACCGATACTGTGCCCTATTCGAGGAATAGGACGCCGGCAAGTTGCAAAATCAGATCTCCAAGTTGGAGAAAAAACTGGTAGTGTCTGAGTCCGAGAAGGCGGAGCTTCAAAGACGACTTCAACAAGCCGAGGCGAAGGAGGAGGAGGCCGAAACTACCATCAATAGTCTCAGGTCGGCTCTCGAGGAAGAGCAGAAGAGGGGGGACGAGGTGAAAAAGTCCCATGAACAAGCCCTCGATAGCGCCGGAGCCTCGGCAGTGGAGGCTTTCCGGAAGTCCGAAACCTTCACCAAGGACCTCGGCCAACTAATCACGCCGAACTTTATGTTTGACTTTACATCAGCCATAGACGAGGCCGCAACCCACCTTTCCTCCGAAGCTTTGGAGTCTTTGAGGAACCATGCCAATTACAACAAGGACTCCAAGGAGTTGTGCGATCGGATGGCCGAAGGTCTCCAAGCTGGAAGGAACTTGGCCGAAGTCCGGGATGAGTTCAACAAGTGGCTGTCCGAGCTCGACGGGGTGTTCGAGGAGGATGAAGGAGAAAAAGCTGGGGGAGATGTTGGCGAGAAGGTCGGCGAAGAGCACGGAGGAGGGGAAGAAGAGCTTCACCCCGACGGGGAAGAGACCGGCGAGCAGGCTGCCCAGGAGGGAGCCGAAATGGGGGAGGGAGTCGAGACGGGGGTCTAGGCTCGTAAGTGTTTAGGTAGAATGCCGAGATGGCAGGTGCTTAATAGCACTCCCGATCTCAGTTTTGTAATCATGTAATGCCTCTTTTTATTAAATGAAATTTCTATTTCTTCTCATCTCGGCACTTTTAATTTCTTACTTCGACCCCTGCTTGTCCCCTTTATTTTTTAATAACGGACGTGTTGAAAAATAACAAAACAGCTGAAGTCATAACTTGATGAAATGTTCAAGCATAATACAATCTGAGGTTCTCGGCGTGCCAAGTCCTCGGCACTAGAGAGCCATCTCGGTAGCTCAGTTTACAATATTCACTAAGACTAGACTCTACAACTCTGTAAGGGCCTTCCTATTTTGGGCACAATTTCCCTTGTGGCTCAGCTCGGCTGACTGAGTTTTTCCTGAGAACCAAGTCTCCTGGCTGGAATCGATGGTGTTTGACGCGGGCATTGTAATAGTGGGCAAGAGTGTTCTTGTAGGAGGCTATCCTAGTTGAGGCGATGTCCCTTTTCTCGTCGACGAGGTCGAGATCGAGCTGTCTCTTTTCTTCGTTCACCTCGGCTGCATAAGCCATTAGCCGAGAGCTGGGTGTGAAGATTTCGGCAGGGATGACAGCCTCGATCCCGTAGGTCAAGGAGAAGAGGGTCTCCTGCGTGGCTGACCTCGGCGTGGTCCAATAAAACCACAAGAGACTGGGGGTTCTTCCACCCAAGATGATCCAGTTCGTGTAGTCGGGTCTTGAGGCCATGCAAGAGAGTTCGGTTGAAATTTTCGGCTTGACCGTTGGTTTGGGAGTGGCCCACCGAAGTGAAGTGTTGTTTGATGCCGAGGTTTTTACACCAGTTCTTAAATGGGTTCTCGGCAAACTGCCTCCCATTATCTGAAATGATAACTTGGGGTATGCCGAAGCGGCAAACGACGCATTTCCAAAAGAATTTTTTAAATGCCAGTCCGGTGATGGTCCTTAGAGGCTCGGCCTCAACCCACTTGGTGAAATAATCCACAACGGTTACCAGGAAAGTATAGCTCCCGACGGCCTTGGGGAAGGGACCTAAGATGTCTGTCCTCCATTGTTCAAATGGCCAGGGTGAAGTGATATGAACCATAAAGTTTGAGGGCTGGTGGTGCTCGGGGGCGTGGACCTGGCAGGAAGGGCAGCCGAGAACAAGGTCTTGGGTATCTTGTCTGACGGAAGGCCAGAAATATTCGAGAAGCAAAGTCTTCTTGGCTAACATCCTGTGCCCGACGTGAGCTCCACACAAGTTTTCGTGTATCTCATGGAGAACCTGGCATCCTTCCTCGGGCATAACGCACCTCAGCCACGGGCCAAGGTAGGAGCGCTTATACAGCTCCCCATCGCGGAGGGCTTACCGAGCAGTTTTGCGTTGTATCTTTCTTGCCTCGACTCGGTTCTCGGGGAGGACTCCCTGACCTAGGAAGAGGATGAACGGGCTCATCCAAATATCTCCAGAGTGGACGGGATAGGCCACTTCTTCCAGGTATCCCGGCTCGGTTAACACTTCCACAAAGACGGTCTTGTTGAGGTCAGAAAATGATATGGAAGCCAGCCGGGACAGAGCGTCGGCTCGCCTATTCTAGGAGCGGGGAATTTTTTGGATTTCAAAAGACTGGAAGAACGCGGTAAGTTGGTGAACTTTGGTGAGATACCGTTGCATGGTCTCATCCTTGGCCTCATATTCACCAAGAACTTGGTACACTACGGTTGGGAGTCACTGCGGACGTGGATTCGCTGGGCACCGAATTTGCGGGCCAGTTGGAGTCCAGCGATCAAGGCCTAGTACTCGGCTGCATTATTGGTGGCCGGGAAGTCAAAGCGGAGAGCATACGAGCACACTTCCCCATGGGGGCCCTCCAGGAGCAGTCCTGCTCCACTGCCGTCCCCATTAGAGAATCCGTCTACATACAACGTCCACAGGTGTGGAGTGGACACCTCAGCAATGGCGGATGTGGATTGTCGACCTTCCGTGAAGGTGAGCTCGGCTAGGAAGTCTGCCAAAGCTTGAGTCTTTATGGCAGTACGTGGTTCATATGACAGATCATATTCTCCCAACTCGACAGCCCACTTGGTGAGGCGTCCGGAAGTCTCGGGACACACCAATATCTGCCGAATAGGCTGGTCTGTTCTAACGGAAATGAGATGAGCCAGGAAGTAGGGCTTCAGCCGCCGAGCTACGTGGACTAGCCCTAGTACGAGTTTTTCGACCTGGGTGTACTGAGTCTCCGGCCCGCGGAGAACTCGGCTGACATAGTAGACCGGCACTTGAGTGCCCTCATCTCAGATGAGCACAGCACTGACAGTCTCGTCGGCTGCGGATAGGTAGAGGTAAAGCTTCTCTCCGGACCGAGGTGAAGCAAGAGTGGGTAGGTGGTGCAGGTACTGTTTCAACTTGTTGAAGGCAGCCTGGCACTCTTCAGTCCAGGCAAACTGATCAACTTTTTTCAGCATCTTAAAGAAGGGCAGAGTTTTCTTAGCAGATTGGGACAGGAAGCGGTTCAGTGCGGCCAGGCGTCCATTTAGCCTCTGGACTTCTCGGAGCTTCTGAGGTGGGGACATGTCCTGAATTGCCTTGACCTTGTCGGGATTGGCCTCGATTCCCTGGCGGGAAACCAAATATCCCAAGAATTTTCCTGAAGTGACGCCGAAGACGCATTTCTTGGGATTTAACTTCATCCTCGAGTCCCGTAGGACGCCGAAAACCTCCCTCACATCCGACAGAAAGGCCGAAGTGATTAAACTTTTGACGAGAATGTCGTTCACATAGGCCTCCACATTGCGGCCGATCTAATCTTTGAAGAGTCGGTTGATTAGCCTTTGATAGGTGGCCCCGGCGTTTTTCAACCCGAACGACATGGTAGTGTAGCAATAGACACCTTGGTCGGTGTAGAACGCCGTCTTCTCTTGGTTCTCTTCACTCATTCCTATTTGATGATATCCTTTGAAGGCATCTAGGAAACAGAGGATCTCATGTTCTATCGCCGAGTCAACGAGGGCATCTATTCTCGGCAGAGGGTAGCAGTGTTTGGGGCAGGCCTTGTTGAGGTCGGTGAAATCCACGCACATTCTCTATCCACCGGTGTCCTTTTTGACCATGATTGGATTAGACAGCCAGGTGGGGTATTGGACCTCGTGAATCATTTTGGCGGGCAAGAGTTTGTCGACCTCATCGGATATGGCCTTGCTGCGTTCGGGGCCGAAGTGCCTTCGTTTCTGCCTCACAGGGCGGGCTTGTGGATTAACGTTGAGCTGGTGAATCATGAGTTCGGGTGGCATTCTGACCACTTCATCAGCGGACCACGCGAAGATGTCTCGGTGGTCCTTGATCAGGTGGATCATTTCTTCCTTCAGGGGCGAGGGGAGTCCGGCCCCCACTTGGACCACTTGGTCAGGTCTTGACTCATCCAAGACCACTTACTCCACCTCATCCCCGGGCTCAAACCTGCTAGGCTCTCCTCCCTTCCGAGGATCGATACTGTCTATGGAGAGGACCGCTGGCCTCTTTTCTTCACCCCTTGATGCGATCCGTGGGGTGACCGCGGCCTGGATGGTGGCGAGGTAGCATTCTCAGGCGGCGTTCGCATCGCTGATCACCTCGGCCACCCCCGCAGGTGTCGGGAATTTGAAACTCAGGTAGTAGGTGGAGTAAACAGCTCTCAAAGCGTTAAGCGTGGGCCGGCCTATCAGCATGTTATAGGGAGAGTCTGCTTTGACCATCGTAACGCTGACAGGCACAGTTCGGCAACGGGGATGACACCCGACAGTCACCATCAGGGTCACCACGCCCTCCGGGTGGACGATGTGTCCCCCAAATCCGACAAGGGGGGTTCTGACAGGAGTGAGTTGCTCTCTGGTCAGTTTTAAACTTTCGAAAGTTCGGTAGTACAAGACGTCTATCGAGCTTCCGGGATCGACATAGACCTTTTTTACTATGTAGTTATTAGTGAGGACTTCAATCACGAGAGTTTCGTGATTGCTGGAGGCGGCAGGGACAGGGTCGTTGGGACCGTAGGTGATCACTACGGATAATCGAGAACTTGGCTCGGCCGCTTCCATGCCGTCCTGGCGGTATGTCCGTTTTCGGGAGTTCTGACTGTCTTCTCCCGTTGGGCCACCTGCTATCGTGTTGATCACCCCGACAATGTTAGGGCCGTAACCCGGTGATCTGTCGCGCGGTGGGCGCTGATCCTCCCTGCGGTCTTCGGGTTCTCGGCAATGGATCTTGGTGTTCCGCCTGTCTTCTAGGCGAGGGCCCCGACTCTTCCGGTGGGAGGCGCTTCGGTTGTAAGCTCCATCCTTGCGGACGAATTGCTTCAAGTGTCCTTGGCGGATCAGGTTCTCGATTTCTCGCTTCAGATCGTTGCAGTATTCGGTCTCGTGTCCGACATCTCGGTGGTAGGCACAATAAAGGTTGGAGTTCCTCCTATCCCTCCTCCTCGGGATCTCAGGAGGGGTCCGACCGAGGTGATTTTGCCTCATCACCGCCAAGACGTGAGACCGGCTAGAATTGAGCGGGGTCAGCTCGGCGTCCGAGGTGGACGATCTGCCTTTCACGATCCGGTCGAAAACACTCCGGCGGTCTCGGAATTGGTTCGATGAGCCACTTGGGTCTGGTTCACCTCGGCCGGTGTCTTTTTTCCTCTGGAGGTTTTGCCCCGTACGAGCTGCCTGGGCTTCTCGCTTCATGCGATTTAAGTCCTAATTTCGGATTCCCTGGTCTACTCGTTCCCAGAGTTCCCGAAGTGTGCGGAGGTAATTCCGATGTATCTCAGTATTGAAGATCCCCGCAATCAACCCGTTGGTGAAGTCAGCTATAGTTACCTGCTCATTCTGATCAGGTATCTGCACATTTTCCTCATTGAACCTCTGCACGTACGAGCGCAGTGACTCGCCGGGACCCTGCTGCAGGTTCAAGAGATAAGCTAAAGTCTTCGTAATTGAGCGAGACGATACAAAGCGGTGAATGAACCGGTCTATCAACTCGTCCAGCGAGAAAATGCTCCTTGGCTCCAAGCCCCAGAACCATTTTCGGGCTTTCCCTTGTAAGAAGATAGGAAAAGCTCGGCAAATCACGGCGTTGGGGACGCAGTAGAGTCGAAATGCCAAGATGAAGGCGCGGAGGTGATCCTCGGGATCACCTCAGCCATCGTAGGAGTACAAGTTTGGGAGTTTAAAATTTGGGGGCATCATTTCCCCGTTGATGTCATCAGTGAAGGGCGGAGCCCTCATGTAGTCGGCCGCTAAGCCTCCAGGACGCCGAGGTGGGTCCTCAGCTCGTTTTTCAAGTTGGTTCCGGAAAAATGCCCGGGAGACAGAGGCAATTTTGGAGGTCGCCTTAGAAGAGGTACGCCTGGAAGTACTCCGAGAGAGGCGCCCCTCATCGGAGTCCTCACCTGAAGGCACTTCAGGGGATTTCGTCGGCCTCCTCTTGGAAGATTCGGCCTTTTCTTTCCCCTGCCTTTTAAGGTACCACCCAAGTTTCTCAAAAATGTTGGAGTTGTCTGATACGAACTCGGCCATCTTGGCGATGGCGTCCTCGTTGGGCTGGGTCCTTTGGGACCCTTGTTCTTCAGAGATGCGATGTTGCTGGGCTCCCGAGGTCTGCCCAGCCCCGGTCGAGGGAACTCTTCCGCTTCTGGAGTGCGTGGATCTAATTTTAGCAATACTCTCGTTCCCACAGACGGCGCCAATTGAAGAGGTGATTTTTGGTGGGTAGATAGACCGACCTAAATCAGTCCTCTCTGAGATGAGGTGAGGTATCTTTATTTGTCTGAAATGGATGGCGAGACTTCTCCCCTGATATCACTCCGACGATCAAGTAAGTATGAGAACGAGAAAAATAGTAATATATGAGAATGAACAGTGTGCTTACTTGTTAAGAGTGTCTGGGGAGTATTTATAGAGTGGGAGTAAAAGGTAGGACGGAGGCTCATGCTGGTGGGAACCACGTCCTGGTATTACGGCTCTGTTCCCTGTCAGGAGGTCTGACTCTGACACTGTAGCCGCCAGGGCAGGGTGACGGGGAGCCTTACGTAGTAGCCATTAAAAGCATCCGCTACTTTTCAGATAAAGCACTGGCTCTGGACGATGTCAAAGGTGTTGACATCATTAGCGTGCAGCTGAGGTGGAAACTTGATGAGCAGAGACTGCCTACGTGGTAGACTAGGGACCCGGTCGAGCTCAGGGGTCGTGCTCAGGTCATGATTACGCTCTAATGAGAGAAGAAATGGGTTCACCTCGGCCTTGCGGGGTGACCGAGGTGAGCATCCTTAGTATCAAATGCTGTGGACTCAATATGGAATTAGCCCTTCCTCAAAAGCTTCAATACTAATAATAATGATAATAATAATAATAATAATACGAGTCATTAATAAATAAAATTGGCACCTTATACAAATTTTCATGCGAACAATACAAGTCATTGTGCATTTGAAGTGTAAAATTGAAAGAGGTGAATTCTTGATTAGCTTTTAGGGGATGAGAGCTTTTCCGTCTACTACATGCATGTGTACATATACATGTGCATGTATGTGATGTGATTACCTCATAAAAAAGCTTATGGGGTAATTTTTGGACAAGAATAATGTTAAAATACCATACGCGTTTTTAAATTTCTTTTGGTGCTTCTATTCTACAGGGAATATATAATAAAATTATCAAAAATATAAACTTGCCCAATGTACATGTCTATCACAAATATACAATTACTAATTGTTGCTGTAAAGGTATCCATGTAATATATATATCCATTTTTGCCGCCAATTGTTTGTTGCGGTAAAATACTCTCTCGCATTTCCTGATTTAAGTGAATCACCCTTAGCTAAAAAATCATTTATATAAAAACTTGTAAGCTCTTAAATACAAACAAACAAAGAAATGCGAAAATGCTTCTAGCCGAACCCTAGAATCAAGTATGATGCATCTATCAGATTCTACTCATTCCAACATGAGAAAAAACAAACTGCATCTATCAGATCAAAAAACGAGAAATCAAACAACATTAGTCCAACGATCACCAAAAGTTGATAAAAGTTTGAAACCGAAAATTCAAGATACGTCCGAGATTGTTTACAAGTAATCAGCTACAAACGACGATCATCCAAGATGCCTGAAAATACTGTTGCATTTTCACATCTAATATGCATTACCACCAAAAACACAAAAATTTCCGTAGGTGTAAAGCTCAGAAAATCATCTATCGTTTCTGGGAAAGAAAAAAAAAAAAGAAAAAGTAAAGCTCAGAAAATGAGAAACAAGCTGTTTTCGTATTAATCCCTTCCTCCTCATCCTTGTACCCCCGTTCCTGCTCCACTCTATGGCTCCATTTCTTCCTCCTCGTGCTGCTGGATCTCTACGGCTCCACAAGCTGGGACCTCCTCGGCTTCACGTCTTCCTCCTGCAGGAACATCCGCAGCCTCGCCTCGCCCTGCTCCTGCTCCAGCTAATTGAACCTCCCCTCCTCCAACCTCCTGCTGCAACTGCCTGTCCCTGTATCAAGACCAAGAGCGCTTATTACATAGCACAACACAAGAAAACAATAGATTAGTAAGGTCTATTACATGACGTTGGACCGGAGGCGTCAAGATCCACTGTGCTTCTGGATCAGCAGCACCATCAGGCCGCATATTACACGCCCCAGTTTTATAGTGTGGACAGTATATCAAACGGCAGCCTTGAAAGTTAACTGGAACTATCCGCTCATCCCCCTTCGCGAGGCACCTGAAGTAGTATTTTCTACCCCACCCAAAAACCAAGAACAATCCATGCCCAAACTCTACGGCAGCAAACATTAGTGGATATAACACTGACTTTTCAAACCCATGTTCAGTTTGCTTGGTTATGAAATCAACCAAAGCAAAGCAGACATGAACGCACCAGAAGCCTATCCCAAGTATCCCGAGAGCGTCGCCCCACTTAGACCCATCCCCAGCATACCCTACAGGAATGCACTTACGCCTTCGTTTAAACTCAACTCCTTCGCTTCGGCCCAGGAGGCGATAGCTAAAAATCGACCAAGCCCACCCAGCCAAAGCCACTAGAAGGGCAACCAATGCAGGTATCTTCCGATTTTCCCAGTACACGGCGGATACTTCTGCTCCCAGCCCTAAAATGGCGGGGGCAAGCTGAATGAAGAGGTGATTTTTGGTGGGTAGATAGACCGACGTAAATCAGTCCTCTCCGAGATGAGGTGAGGTATCTTTGTTTGTCCGAAATGGATGGCGGGGCTTCTCCCCTGAGATCACTCCGACGATCAAGTTAGTATGAGAACGAGAAAAATAGTAGTATATGAGAATGAACAGTGTGCTTACTTGTTAAGAGTGCCTGGGGAGTATTTATAGAGTGTGAGTAAAAGGTAGGACGGGGGCTCATGCTGGTGGGACCCACATCCTGGTATTACGGCTCTGTTCCCTGTCAGGAGGTCTGACTCTGACACTGTAGCCGCCTGGGCAGGGTGACGGGGAGCCTGACGTAGTAGCCATTAAAAGCATCCGGTACTTTTCAGATAAAGCACTGGCTCTGGACAATGTCAAAGGTGTTGACATCATTAGCGTGCAGCTGAGGTGGAAACTTGATGAGCAGAGACTGCCTACGTGGTAGACTAGGGACCCGGTCGAGCTCAGAGGTCGTGCTCAGGTCATGATTACGCTCTGATGAGAGAAGAAATGGGTTCACCTCGGCCTTGCGGGGTGACCGAGGTGAGCATCCTCAGTATCAAATGCTGTGGACTCAATATGGAATTAGCCCTTCCTCAAAAGCTTCAATACTAATAATAATGATAATAATAATAATAATAATACGAGTCATTAATAAATAAAATTGGCACCTTATACAAATTTTCATGCGAACAATACAAGTCATTGTGCATTTGAAGTGTAAAATTGAGAGGGGTGAATTCTTGATTAGCTTTTAGGGGATGAGAGCTTTTCCGTCTACTACATGCACGTGTACATATACATGTGCATGTATATGATGTGATAACCTCATAAAAAAGCTTATGGGGTAATTTTTGGACAAGAATAATGTTAAAATACCATACGTGTTTTTAAATTTCTTTTGGTGCTTCTATTCTACAGGGAATATACAATAAAATTATCACAAATATAAACTTGCACAATGTACATGTCTATCACAAATATACAATTACTAATTGTTGCGGTAATGGTATCCATGTAATATATATATATCAATTTTTACCGCCAATTGTTTGTTGCGGTAAAATACTCTCTCGCATTTCCTGATTTAAGTGAATCACCCTTAACTAAAAAATCATTTATATAAAAACTTGTAAGCTCTTAAATACAAACAAACAAAGAAATGCGAAAATGCTTCTAGCCGAACCCTAGAATCAAGTATGATGCATCTATCAGATTCTACTCATTCCAACATGAGAAAAAACAAACTGCATCTATCAGATCAGAAAACGAGAAATCAAACAACATTAGTCCAACGATCACCAAAAGTTGATAAAAGTTTGAAACCGAAAATTCAAGATACGTCCGAGATTGATTACAAGTAATCAGCTACAAACGACGATCATCCAAGATGCCTGAAAATACTGTTGTATTTTCACATCTAATATGCATTACCACCAAAAACACAAAAATTCCCGTAAGTGTAAAGCTCAGAAAATCATCTATCGTTTCTGGGAAAGAAAAAAAAAAAAGAAAAAGTAAAGCTCAGAAAAT